GGGTGCATATATCTTACGCTATGTATGAATAAGTGAATCTTTGTATGGTGCTTGTTGCACTCAACGGGTGCATATATCTTACACTATGTATGGATAAGTGAATCTTTGTATGGTGCTTGTTGCACTCAACGGGTGCATATATCTTACACTATGTATTGATAAGTTAATCAGTGTATGGTACTTTGCCTTCCCGTTCAGATACCGTACCGTGAGCACTTTACAAATTGATATCCTGACTTTTTCACTGTCTCAAATTTAACGTCGCGATATAATATCTGTTTTTGTAACCCTTTATAATTTTGACGAGTAGACGACGCATGACAGCCATCCAGCAAGTTTTTGTCATCATTTAGAAATTTGGTCGGAAATGGCGAAACGCACGCATGATGAGCCATCCGGCGCTAGGAAGCGCCGCCGGGGGAGGTCTAGCGTCGACGGAGCTAACGAGGCGACGGCGACCAGTCTTGGAGGCGTGGCGGCGTTCAAGGACGTGTGGGCGGCGCTGACAAAAGCTGGGTGGACATCAAAGAAGCCGACAGCTAAGTCTCTCGATACGCGCTTCAAGTATATCCTGCCTGGGCGGCGACACAATGGTGAAGAGGGGGTAGATTTTCTCCTCGGCGAACTGGCCGTCCTAAGGTTTGTAGAAGTCTGCGCTTCTGAAGTTGCTTCAAGTGAAGCTTCTCAAGACACAAGCGAAACCGGAGGTGCTTTTGCGACCGTGTTGAGGTATCGTCTGTTCTAATAGTTTTGCTAACTATCTGTTTGTTTTGATGCAGGAACAGTCCCCGATGATAGTGGTGGTAATGCCGTTGGTAGGATGGCCGGCAGAATCATCGGCGGCAGGCATGTGGCTACAGCTCGACGGTCCATAAGAACGGCAGGTGCGCCTCATGTCTGGTGTCGGGCATAGTTCTATGCTAAACAACCATGTGTTTGGTGTGATGTAGCGGTTAACATTGACGACGTTGAGGCTGTACGTAACGTTGGTGCGTGCGTCGATGAAGCGACCGGCATGGCAACAGTAGCCGCGCGTGACCCGCGAGGTGGTCGAGGGAAGGCGAGAGTTCGGCAATCTCCAAGCTCATGTACTGGCGGAGGTAAGACTTGCTCTCGACTCGCTACTGTCGGTGAAGTAATTGACTGTTGGTGGTCTATGTATTTAAATTGCAGGTCACGAGGTTTGCGAAGGTGTTAACGCCGGTGACGCTGGCGGCCATACTGCTGTCGCTGGTGGTGCGGAACGAGGACTCGGGACAGGAGAAAGACGTGGAGGCAGTACAGCTCAGCGGGCGGTAAGAGCTTCAAGTCTTGCAGGTGGGCATCTAGTGAACGAATTGCACTGGGGACAAGTTGCTAACAGCTTATTATTGCTGACGTAGGAGTGAACTGCGGTGGTGGTGGTGGTGATCATGGTGTGCGAGGAGGTGGTGTTCAAGGATGTGGATCTCGAGGAGGTTGTGGACGGCAGAAGGCACGTCCAGCTACGGACACGGCCACTTCAAAAGGTATGTAGGACCCCGTTGGAGCCAGTAATGGACGATGCCGCGAATAATGTTGTGGTTGTTGATGGTACAGCAAACGCAATGGATGACAGTGAACTTGGAGATGGTGTCAGCAGGGAGGATGATATTGACCATACTGTCCCTGAATCACCCCAAGCGGGTGTTGCACAAGGAGCGCCTACGACGCCAGCACGTACGCCCCCCATCATGTTGCAAGATGTCTACATCAGCAAGTTGGTGGCATTCTCACCTAACAAGGAGAAGTGGATGAAAGCTAAGGCTTACCGACCTATTGGTACAGCTTACATTATTGGCCGGGTGTACTGTCAAGTGAAGAAGGGCAAGAACGCATCCCT